TAAAAGGGACTCCAGAGTAACAAAGCTTATTCCAAAAACACAGTGTTGGCACAGCCAGTTCCCATGACAGTCACAGTCGCTTTCATTCCTACAACCCATCTCCTGACTGGCTCATTGCCTTCCTTCATTCTTGCTTTCCCAGCATGCTCATGTTCCCTTCCCTCTGTAAATGGCAGACACATCCTTGTGTGTTATCTGTGATAGCAAATATTCACATCTTTAAATTATTTATTTTGTGTGCATGTGTGTAGTGTATGTATGCGTGTTCCCATGGGGAGTGTGTACATAAATGTGCACATGCACATGTAGAGGCCAGAGGTTAATGTTGGGTGCTTTCCACCTTGTTTTCTGAGACACGGTCTCTCACTAAGCCTGAGCTCACCAAGTTAGTTACACTGGTTGGCCAGTGAGTCCCAAAGATCTGCCTGTTTCTGCCACCCATCCTAAACATGAAGATTGTAGATGTGCATCACCACAGTTGACTTTTTAAAAAATATTTTATTTGTTATTTTTATTTTATGTATACGCATGTATTGTCTGCATGTAGGGAAGTGTACCCGTGTTGTGCAATGCCCACGGAGGACAGAAGAGGCTTTTGAATCTCCTGGAATTGGAGTTACAGACAGTTGTTAGCTGCCATATGGGTGCTGGGAATTGAACCCAGGTCTTCTGCAAGAACAATCAATGTCCTTAACCACTGAGCTATCTCTCCAGCAAAATAGTATTATTTCTTGAAAAGACTTCAACTTTTTTTTTTTAGTCCTGGCTGGTCTCAAACTATGTGGCCAAACTCCTCAATCTTCCTGTCTCTGTCTTCCAATTGCTGGGATTACAGATGTGTACCACCATGCCCAGCCAAGCAGAATTTCTTAAGGACAATGAGTTGGAGCAAAAGCACCTACAGGCCAGCAGGATGATGACATAGAATAGGAGTTGGGTCCCTCAGAACCTGCGGGCCCTATGCTAACAAGAGGGGCAAATTCTCTTTTTGTCTCTCCCCAGCACAAAGTAGTTAATAGGACAAGAGCAAAGGAAGAGTCGAGCCTGGAGAGCTGGCTATACAGCTGGAGGATGATGTTATTACTGCACATTACTGAGGTAACTCAGCTCCATGCTCTTCACTCTTCATCCACCATGAGAAAAGGGCTTATGATGGTTAATACTGTCAACCTGACAGGATCTAAAACCACCTAGAAGACAAGACTCTCCACATGTCTAAGAGATTTCTAGACTGTGATAACTGAAGGGAAGATTCACCATTAGTAAGGGTTGTACCATTCCATGGACTAGGGTCCCAGACTACATAAAAAGAAGAGAGTGCTTGCTGCTCTTATAGATGACCCAGGTTTGGTTCCTAGTACCTTTATGGTAGCTCACTCAGTTCCAGGGGATCCAGCGCCCTCTTTTCATCTCCATGGTACTGCATACACATGGTACACTTAACATACATGTAGGTAAAACACTAGATGGGGGGATGGGGATGAGTCCCAGAATTTATCATTATCTGCTTCTTTTTTTAATTAATTAGTTAATTAATTGATCTTTTAGTCTTTTTGAGACAGGGTTTCCCTTTAGTCCTCAGCTGGCCTGGAACTTATAGACCAGTCTGGCCTTGAACTCACAGAAATCCACCTGCCTCTGCCTCCTGAGTGAGTGCTGAGATTAAAGGCGTGAGCCACCATGCCCTGCTTTTTTAATTTTTTTTTTTTTGTCTTTTTTTGAGACAGGATCTCCCTGTTGCCCCAGCTGTCCTAGAACTCACTATGTAGACCAGGCTGACCTTGAACTCACAGAGATCCGCCTGCCTTTGCCTCCAGAGTGCTGCGATTAAAGGCATGTACCACTACGCCTGGCCTGGCTTTTTTAATTTTTAATTTTAATTTTATTAGTGTATTGCCGTGTCATGCAGTGCTACAGAGATCAGAAGAGGGTATCAGGTCCCCTAGAACTGGTGTTATGGATAGTTGTTAGCTGCCATGTGGGTGCTGGGAATCCAACCCAAGTCCACTGCAAGAACAGCCAGTGCTCTTAATTGCTGAGCCATCTCTCCAGCCCCATTATTTGCTTCTTGACTAAGGATGTACTCACCTATCTCAAGCTCCTGCTGCTACATACCCCCACGAGGATGAAATGGACCTTCAGCTGTGACCCAAAACATACCCTTAAGTTGCTTTTGTCAGCAATTTTGTCATAGTGATGAGAAAAGTAACTGATAAAAGGCTCTATCCACCAGCCTCACAAACATCTTCCCACTTCCATCTGAGTATGGGGATATGAAGAAACAGAGAATTCACTGAGTGTAATGGCATACACGTTTAATCCCAGCACTCAGGGGGCAGAGGAAGAGGCAGGACCATCTAACTGTGAGTTAGAGGCCAACACGGTCTAAATAGCAAGTTCCAGGCAAGCCAAGGCTACATAGTGAAACCCTATCTCAAAAAACAGTAACAAACCAAAAAAACAAATAAAAAAAAACAAAAAGAAATAAAGGAACAAAAAATATCTTGTTGTGTGTGGTGGCACATTACTATAATCCCAGTACTCAGGAGAGGTCAAGGCAGGAGGGTGGCAAGATCAGGACCAGAAATAGTTACACATAGTTACATAGTGAGATCATCTCAAAAAAAAAGGGGGGGGGCTGGAGAGTTGGTTCAGTGGTTAAGAGTACTAGGGCTGCTCTTACAAAGGACCCAGGCTTGACTCCCAGCACCCACATGACAGCTAACACATCCATAATTTCAGTTTCAGGAGAATCTGAGTCCCTCTTCTGATCTCTACGGGCACTGCACAACATGGGTTTACCTACCTTACATGTAGGCAATAAACTCATACATGTAACATAAAAAAATAAATAAAATTTTAAAATAAAAAGTCATATAAAGAAAAGGATTTTGTTGTTGTTTGAGACAGGGTCTCCCTGTAGCACCAGCTGGCCTAGAACTTGCTGTGTAGACCAGGCTGGACTTGAACTCACAGA